AGCTTTTTTTAGGAATAGATTTGGTTAATTTCCCCCTATTTTAACTCCTTCCTTTTATGAAGAGATTTTGTTAGTTTTTTTTGTGAAATTCATTTTTTACTATTTGACAAATTAATATTGGATATGTTTTGAAAAGATTCCTTTATTAAATAAACAATTCCATATGTTTTAACTTCCTATTTTTTAGGTTAGGATTTCATATATATTTATTGGTTAAATCAAATTTTTAGAATAAGCCTAACTAAATATATTTCTTTTTTTTAGGATGTGATTAAGGAAACAATTCCATAAAAATATGGATTCTTTAAAATATAATATATTATCTTCTACATAACCGATTTCTTTTGGATACATTTGAAAATAATTTTCATTGTTTTAAAAAGATAATGTAGGATATGTTTTAAAAAAAATTCCTTTATTAAAGAAACAATTCCATAACATATTCGATTTTGATATTTTGTATGCAAATAATTATTTCAAAATTTTGCTTATTTAAGACAATTCAAATTAATATTCGCGGCCTTTAGAAAAAGAAGATTAGTTATGAAGAGAACTCCAGAAAAAAGTGGATATGTTTTGAAAAGATTCTTTTATTAAAGAAACAATTCCATAACGTATTCGATTTTAATATTTTGTATGCAAATAATTATTTCAGAATTTTGTTTATTTAAAACAATTCAAATTAATATTAGATATTGTAGATCACATCTATTATTTGCTTACTATATATTTAAAATCTAAAATAGGTTGGATTGGGTTTAATGTGATAAGCACGACCTTTTTTGTTGTGGAAAATCAAACAAAAAGTATACTATTTTAGGTATAAAATCTGATTTCATTTGATAAGCTCAATCAAATTTGATTATGACCGAATCAAACAATTTTGAACAATACTAAATTAATGGATTACTATTGAATTAATTTTTTTTGATTTTCACGTCGAAAATTTTCTAAAATACTATTTTTTTTTTGTGGAAAATATCGGCTAGATGAAAAGGTCAAATTATAATTAAAAAAAAAATTGTTATTTTGAAAAATATATTTTGTAAACCTGAAGTCATAAAAATATGGTCAATGATATCTTTAAATACAACGGGTAAATATGGTCAATAATATCATAAATTATTTTTTATATTCGGGTAGTTCAACTTAATTGATGATTTTTTTTTCCAAAAAGTATGATGATCATATAATTAATTTTATCATATATCTAATGTTTGATGTTATTAGTTTAGTTGGGGATACCCATTATATTCAAATAAATAATATATAATTTTTCATATTTGGTATTTCTTTTCTTACAATAATGAGATGTTAAACATAAATAACTATGTTTAATATAAAGTCTTAGAAAAGGTTTTAAGTAAAAAGTCCGTCCGTGCATCGCACGGGATACACACTAGTTGGTTCCAAAAAGATAGGTATTCCAAATCAAAAATAAACATATCATTAGGAGATTTTGTTGATTTGAATCTCTAAATTTTTAAATAGTTTGATTAACAACTAAAATTCCTTCCTAATAGGAGACTTTTTTGTTGCCATGGTATCCAAAAAATTATCTTCTCACATATCTGAATTCTTTCCAAAAAAATGACGCGTATCATTAGGAGATTTTTTGGGCTTTCAGTTTACACGTTAATACGGATTGCTGGATTGCAGCGATACTTTTGGGCTTTCAATTTACATGTTATTACATTGCAGGATAATTAATGTTGTAAGTTGATTTTTTTTAAAAAAAAAAAAAAATCATTTAAGGAAAGCAATAAATGCACAATGAGTGTTGACTAAAAATTGACCTACTATTTTTAAAAAATGGTAAATCTTATTATATATATAGATGGTAACTTTGAAGAAAATATTATTATTATTATTATTATTATTATTATTATTATTATTATTATTATTATTATTATTATTATTATTTTAATCAAACCAATGTTTTTAGATCTAAACCATTCAAATTTTACCCTAATATTGACTTTGCTTGTCGTGGCCGGTGCTGCTGTATGCAATACGAAGGTATACTCAGAGTCTTTTAAACTAACCCGTGATTCTGTAAGTACTAAAAGATCATTATCCCATCCAACCTGATTTCGTCACTTTCGACGAGAAAAACGTGATGCCGAAATTGAAGTCGGCCCACCTTTTCCTTGTGAAGGAACCTCATTTGTATCCTTTGAGTTCCCTTCTTTCCACCATCACCAATTTCCTCAAATTCTCCCGAAACAGGGGCTACACTACAACCTCAACCACCCGAGACTCGAGCTCCAATAACAACCTTCTAACCAACTACCTCACGGGATTTCTAAATTATTCCCCACACGAAGCGGCCTCAATATCCAGCCGGGTCTCGGCAACACTCTCCACACAAAAGTCCGACTCAGTCGTCCACTACTTGAAATCCCTCGGTCTCTCCACTGCCCATCTGCAGAGAGCAATCAAACGCCAGCCCATGCTCCTATTCTTGGATGTCGATAAGAATCTCAAGCCCAAATCGACTTCTATCAAGAACTGGGCTTGCACGGGCCCCACCTGCCGATCATCATCTCCAAGAACCCTGGCCTCCTGACCGGCAGCCTGGACAGAAGGGTAAAACCGAGCATCGAAGCTATCAAGAAAGTACTCGAGCTCCATCTGAGCTTAAACTTAAAGAAGGACGAAATTAACCTTCTCGTTTTCCATATACTCTCGAGTTGCGGCTTGATCGTCATGAGCGGGTCGAGCCTGGAATCCAATATAGCCTACCTGAAGAGCTGTGGGGTATTGGGCTCTCAACTGGTCATGCTTCTGAAAAATGAGCCTATGATGTTCTCCATACCGGGGGATGACCTGAAAGGCCTCGTCTCACGGGCTGTTGAGATGGGCTTCAAAACGGGCTCGAGGATGCTGATATACGCTGTCCTAGTCCTCTACAGCTATAATCCCAAGACTCTTAGTAGAAAGTTCGAGTTGTTTCGAGTTGTTTCGGGAACTTGACTTCACAAGGACTGTCGGGTTTGACAGGTCGATTCTAGTGCGGTCACCTTCACTTTTGTCGCTTAGTGTGGAGAAGAGAATGATTCCGAGGCTGAGAGTGATGGAGATGGTGAAGTCGATGGGGCTGATGGAGAAGGAGCCAAGTTTTGTTACTGTGTTGCAGATGACGGAAAAGAAGTTTCTGAGTGTTTTTGTGTGGAGATTCAGTAGTGATGCCCCAGAATTGGAGGAGGTTTACGAGAAGTGTTTGGGATCTTCGTGATTTTAGATATTTTAAACGAAAGGCGAGGATTTTGTAATTGGCAAATGCTTTAATTTTTTTATTTTTTTTCTGCTGGTGCACATTGTGATTTGGTTAGAGGAAATTGTGGATTCTTGAACATGAGAAAATTTTAAATTTACTCCCACATAATTGATGTTATTGCAAATTTAGTCTCAAATGTCGTGAAAATGACATTCTGTGACATTTTTTTATTTGAGACTTCTTGATATTTTCAGTGGTAGTAGGAAGTTTGGAGGTGAAATTTAGGGTGTGTTTGTTTAAAAAAAACCACTCTTTCAGCTGTGAAGGTTTAGATCTACGATTTGAAAGCAATGGCAAGCAAAGGTGAAGGTCTCGCTATTGGAATTGATTTGGGAGCGACATACTCGTGCGTCGGTGTGTGGCAGCACTATCGTGTCGAGATCATCGCCAATGCTGGAGTCATTGCCGGTCTCAACATCATGCGAATCATCAACGAGCCAACGACTGCAGCCATTGCCTACGGTCTCGACAATAAAGCAACAAGCGTTGGCCAAAAGATTGTGTTGTCTTGATTTTCGATCTTGGAGGCGGCACTTTTGATGTCTCTCTCTTGACCATTGAGGAGGGATTTTTTGAGGTTAAGGCCACTGCTGGTGACACCCATCTCGGAAGATTACGATAACCGCATGGTGAGCCATTTTGTTCAAGAATTCAAGCGTAAGCACAAGAATGACTGGCAATCCTCGTGCTCTTCGGAGGCTGAGGACCGCTTGTGAGCATGCAAAGAGGACTCTCTCGTCCATTGCCCAGACCACCATCGAAATTAACTCTCTCTACGAAGGTGTTGACTCTTACATAACCATTACCCGAGCCCGGTTCGAGGACCTCAACATGGATCTCTTCAGGAAGTGTATGGAGCCCGTTGAGAAGTGTTTGAGAGATGCCAAGATGGATAAAATCACCGTACACGATGTAGTCCTTGTTGGTGGCTCGACTAGGATCCCGAAAGTTCAGCAGCTTTTACAAGACTTTTTCAATGGGAAAGGGCTCTTTGCAAGAGCATCAACCCCGACGAGGCCGCTGCTTACGATGTTGTTCTCCAGGTCGCTATTCGGAGCGGCGAAGGTAACGAGAAGGTGCAAGACCTTTTTCTTCTCGACGTAACTCCTCTTTCTCTCGGTCTCGAAACTGCCGGAGGTGTGATGACTGTGTTAATCCCGAGAAACACTACAATCTCGACAAAGAAGGAGCAAGTTTTTTTGACTAGAACGAGGACTCGTGACAATAACATGCTCGGAAAATTCTATTACACAGATAAAATATTTAAAATATTCTATTTTAACTTTAAAAATGTGTGAAATCATAGAATATATAAAAAATTTGTCCAAACAACATAGAAATATGCCTAAAAAACATTATATAGTAAGATATAAAATAAATAGTGAGACCAAGAATTATGAACCCATAATAGGCAAACCACACTTTCTGCTACATACAAAAATATTTGAGTACAATACTTTTTTCTTCTACAGAAAATATGCATACGGTTTATTTTTAGAGACTTTTTAAATTTTTTTAAAATTGATGACTTTTGTGAACTTTATGCAACTTCTAATGGCTTTTGTGGATTTCTGAGATTGTTATGGAGACTTTTTAAGACTTTCACTTTGCACTTTTTGATAATTTCTAAAGACTTTTATATAATTTTTAATATAATAATTATATTTGTATAAAATGCTCAAAAAATGATGTGCATAATAATTAATATCAATAACGTCAAATTAGTAATAAAAAAATTATAATATTTTTTGGCTTAATTGTAAATAAAACCACGACCTTTAACCTTTTTGCAATTTAATCTCAACTTTAAGGTAATTGCAAATAAATCGTAACCTTTTTTAATTTTGGCAACCCGAACCCAAAGTTGATCGGCAGCGACGTACGTGCCTATGTGTCCGGGCAATTAATGTCACGTGTCCTCCGACGATGCTGACGAGGATGCCACACTGTCACACACACATACACAACAAAGGGTAAAATGGTCAAATTAAGAATTCAATACATATAAACTCATTTTTCAGTAATAACACCACTCAATCTTCCCCAAATTAAACCCTAATCGCCAATTTCCGAGCTTCTCGTTCCAATTCTCGAGCTTCTCTTCTAATTTCCGAGCTTCTCGTTCGCAATTACAAACCTAATTGAGGTGTTCATCCCCCATACCTCCTGATAATGTCGTTCTCTTCCCATACAAGCCAAAGTTCTCGCAGCGGTGGCGGTTCGAAGTTTCACGGCCGAAAGGAATGCCTTCACGGTAAAGAGGCAGACATCCTCATGTCGAAGACGATTAATAATCCATGTAGAAGGTTCTACAGGTGTCGGCATAGAAAGGTAAATATATGGTTGCTCTTCTTGTTCCCAATTTCAGTTTTCTTTTTATTTTTGTTTTCTATTATGTTGCTCTTCTTGTATAGCCAAAAGAGTGCAAATTTTTTGAGTGGATTGATCCGGCATTGCCCGAGTTTCAGAAGTCATGTTTTTTAAGAATGAAGGCAGAGAAAGAGGATTTAGAGGAACAACTAAGGTGCAAGCTGGACATGGAGAAAATGGATACAGAAGATGTGAAAGTTGAAAACTTTGACATGGTGGAGGAGCTTCAGAGCAGGGTGAATGAGCTTGGAGTTGTAGCTGAAAAAATGCACAACTCGTGTTGACCCTTAAGAACACAGTAGATACTCATGTGGAAAGCTTAGAAAAGAAGATGAATATTCTCATTTTTTGCTTGGTTGTAGTTGCTCTTCTTGCTGTTATGGGTTGGTTTGGTAAGGATGGAAAGGGACAGAAAATGAAGATGTTGAATTGAAGCTGTAATCCTATGAAGAAATGCTGAAATGAAGGTGTAATGTAATTTTGTTTTTGCTGAAGAAATGCTGAAATTGAAGTTGTAATCCTCTGAAGGACACAATAGGTTTTGAATGGATTAATGGATAATGTCTAATGGATTATGGCTGATTTAATGGATTATGTGTAATGTAATAATGTTTTGGCAGTTAGTAAGTTTGTATTTTGTTGCAAAGTGCAATCCTTTTTTTAGTTGGTGTGATTATTAATGGAGAACAACATGAAGCAAATTTATGGGCAGTTAGATGAGGTCTGCAAATGGTTTTGTCTGTCAGTTGCTCAAATGTTTGTTGTATGCCTTTTAGATGATATAAATGTATTGTTGTGGTTTGCAAATGGTTCTGTGGTTTTAGATGATATAAATGTATTGTTGTCCAGCTTTTTGATTCTATCACTCTCTTGTAATAAGCCTGTTGATGTGTCTGTTAAAGTTTTGGCTGAAAAGAGACTTGCAGGAAGATCAACTTATCCTGTAACTTGCCCTCCATTTTGCATTGTAAGAGAGCAAGCGTACTTTAACCCTTTGGTTAGCCTGTGTAAATTCCAAAATGAACAACCAAAATTTGCCTATGAAATTAACAACCAAAAATTTGCAATAAGCAGAACATAACACAACAAGCAGCAGATTAAATAACACAATTGTTGTTTCATATCATAGGCAACCTGCAAGTACTAGTGTTTGACATCATTTCAAACAACAAAATCCCCAAAACATGGTCACAGTACTGTTCTTAATCCATATTCATAACAAAAACCCCAAAAACACACACAAGCACAATAACATAATCTTATCCAAATACATAGGCTTGGTCAAACATGCAAATCAATCATCATTTGTGTGCAACACTTTCTTGAGTGCCCAAGACTTGTTCACTTGCTTTCAGTCTTGAACTCCTCCTTGAACTCCTACTTTCAACTCTTTTGCTTTTCCTGGTACCTTGGCTTTCTGACCCACTTGCTCCTGACCCACTTGCTTTGCTTCTTGACTCACTTGCACCCTTTCTAGGAATGAGATGCACCCTTGTTTCAGAAGACAACTGCAAGAGTCACAGACATAGAAGAAAATAAAAACCATCACATAAGTATTGACATAAGAGAAACACATCTGCAAGAGTCACAACTGCAACTAATTTATGAATAATATGAAGTAGACAATAACCATTAAAACATACCCTCATATAAGTATTCCCTGTTTCCTCAGACTATAAAATGCCATATCCTTTCCTAGCCTGAATATATATAAAAAAAATAAAACCAATTACATGAATAAAAAGAATACAAAAAGAAACAGGACTGACAACATAAACAAGTTTTTTATATGATTTACCAAGGCTCGTTCTTTTTGTATCAAAGAGACATCTTGTGTGGGCATCTCTCTCCTAACAGGTAGTTTTTTCTCTTCTGAGTAGTTGGAGCAAGATTTTAACCCCGGGTTGAATAACTTCCTCTCTATTTGATTGTGGTCCTGGATTTTTCTTTGGCCTCCCTCTTGGATTCTATGAACATTTGTAACCAGTTATGATATGCTTCATTGAAACAAAAAACAAAATGAACTAATATTTTACCTTAGGAGGTTTTTCAACTTGGGGATTAGTACAAGACTTCTTATTATGTCCCTTCTGCAAACACCTTTGACAAGTCATAGTTAAACCAAACCTTCTCAACTTAGTTCCACATCTCAACTCTTCCTCTGGAGCTCTTCTCTTTTTCTTAGGTCTATCTGGCATTTTCTTGAAAGGAGGTGGTTGGATTGGGCAACCTTCAGCCAGTGGCCACAACTTCTTTCCATTGAGTGGATCCAAGGAGTTGTTGTACATCTTCAAGTACCTTTCAACTGAGTAGTATTCAGAAACAA